GTTAATTTTTGTATGCCTTAAGCTGTCCTACCTACAGCAAGAGTAAAATAAGGCACACCTGGAATTTGCATATTTCAAATGAAGATGAATATGCTTTTAACGTAGTAAATATTGTTGCTTTTCATTTGTAACTTTGCTGCTACTTTCTATATGTATATCTGTATATACATAGACAGTTATGAATGAAAACCCAACAATGCCCTAATGTGATTTTGTTCATAGAGTCACAGTTCACAGTTCACTTAGAGTGCCTGTGAAGGAAGTGACTGCAGTCTGTTTGAAATCAACGTTGGCCTGCAAATACAATGGGGAAAGAACCATCTTTTCTAGTTGGTATATGGCACAACTTGCCACATTATTTTAGTGCATCTCAGGGAATTACTGAAGAGTTAATTGGGCTAGCTTCGTTTTGTTTTGGTCTTTTATCTTTTGCTTTTGTGTTGTGCATTTGTTCCTGTGTAAGCTCAGTATATAAAGGCAGTTTTGGCATCCGTTTGTGAAGAACGGAGCTTTGATGAACAGAGTTAAGATGCGAAGGTAACTTTATCTCAGATAAAATTGACTTTGTTCCCAGGCCTGGTTGTTGATGATCTTCCTCTGCTAGGTGACTTCCTGGTAGTGTTGATAAAACTGTGCAGCCTGCCAGCCAGGAAGTCGATGGCAGTTCGAGGCTTCCTTGCTGTGTAGAAGAATGGGTATTTCTCTCACTTTATAGGCCTTTAAATTGGCTACTGCTCCCAAGTGTTATCTACTATTAACGTGTTTGTTGTTTGTTTAATTACCCTGTCAGTTGACATACGGAGTGTGCTACTTTAGTGTATTAGTATTAATGTAGTTAGTGGCATACTCCTTAATAGGAACATGGCAATTACTTTTCTGATAGTGCTCAATCCTACTCTCTGATCTAAACCCATTGTAACCAATGGCATGATTGTGAGATTAGTTGAACCTGCCTCGCTGTGTATTCTGCATTTGGAGAAGGAATTCAGAATTCTCTGCTACATTGTAAGTTCCTTGTCAGAGTGGATACTACTGTGTGCTCTTCCCATCCTCACAGGTCTGTAGTAAAAACGCTGTGGTTACTAAAAATTAAACATAGTATAGTTGCTAAATTCTTCCACATCTTGAGCCTATTGAAAACGGTATAGGAAATTATGATACATGGGTAAATATCTTCAGTGACGAGTTGTGTGATTGGGGTGTTTTTGTTAAACCCCCATGGCTGACCAGTTAACCTAATTAGCAAGCTTAATCAGTGTTAAGTTTCGATTCTAAAAATAAAAAGTTTCAGTTGGGGTGGAAGATACGCTTCTGGTATGTAGGGCAGCACATACCTTGATGAGGCAAAATGAAGTACAGATCTATCACATGACGTTATGACTTTAGTGTGTGCTACAGAAAATCCAGGTTTACCTGAGAAGAATAAATAATGGCAGGAATAGTAGAGAAAATATAAAGGTTAAAATAAGAACTGTAGTGAATATAATGAAAAGAGTTTGAAAGCTTAAATACCTGGCTTCAGAATCTGGCTTTGCCATTTACTGACCTTTGTAAAAATCACTAAACAACCCTGGGTCTGTAAAATAGAGAAGTCACATTAAATAATTTCAAGAATGAGATACAATCATGTTAAAAATGTTGAAAACTAAAATGTTCGAAATGGAAGGTATCATTGCTATAATTACCTTTTCAGAATAGAAAATGGAGCATTCTTAATCTTGCTCTTGTCCCACATGACAAGCATAGGGAAAGGTAACATCTGTGCTCACTTCCTGATGCTCCATGTCCCTTAATTCAAAACTATATACTGAAAATACCAAGGATGGGGTCAGTGAGCACATCAGTAAATAACAAGATGCTCAAATCTGACAAATTAACTCTTTTATGACAGGACGATAGACCAGCCAGTTGGAAGACAAGTGAGGAATATCGTCTATTTGTGGCTGACAGGACAGGACAATTCCATTAATAAGTAAGTAGAAAGTAAGTGGCATGCTCAAGAATGGATCTTAGTGAGTCAGCACCAACCTGCAGCAACAAGACCACAAATCTGACCACTGTTAGTGCTGTTGCGGTTGGAGAAGAGCAGTCTTGGTAACTTGACTAGTAGCAATAACAGAAACAAACTGGTCCTATCATGGAGACTGGCAGAAGTAAGATGCTCCATGGAACAGCATAAATACAGGGGAATGCTGAAGACTGGGAGGGGCTCGTAGATAATGACGCTGAATAACATGACTGTACTATTTTAAAGCAGACTTGAAAACTTGAAAAAACTAGTCTATGTGCTTCAAGAAAAAGCAGAGCCTGTCCTAGAACATGAAGAACTTAGAAATTGCAGGCAAAGCCAGAGCCATGACTACGTAGTGTGAAAGCAGTAAGTAAATTTTTAAGAGAATCAAGATTATTTTTGTTAGAAAACTCTTTGGAGGCAATATACAACAATACCCATGTATAGTGATATAGGAATTCTTAGCAAATAACTAAAAATATTTATGTACTGCTAGTTCTTACGAGCAGTATTGTTATGGATCTTAAATCAGGCATGTGGAAAACTACTACTGACAGAAGACTATTGAAGTCTGAAGCCGTTTTAGTGAATCTCAAGGTGCCACCTTAGAAGTATTTACAAGTCAAATGCCATCTCTTTAGAGTGACCCCCAAATGTGCCCCTCTTTGGAGAGAGAGGCGAATGATTCAGAAATCAGGGCCTGTTTACTGTGTTCAAGCCTCACGTTATGTTTTGGGTCTACACGTTTATTACAGTTACCCTGATTCTTTCTCAGTTTTAGAAGTCAGGGTAAAAACAATCTCTGCTTGATTTTTTCCCTGAAGAGAGTGTGTGGTGGTGTTTTTTTTTTTAAATCTTAATTCTGACTCTTAACGTTAGTTACACAGCCAACAATGATCACTGTATATATTAACATTTTTTTTAAGGTGTGAGGAGATCCATATATTTGACAATTTTCAGCCAGCATAGATTTGAGAGCTGATTGCTCACCTCACACTCCGGAATATCCTTTCACAAGCTCAAGTTTCTAAATGGACACTATTGGGAAGAGTTTGATGATTATGTTGCTGTGAGATCAGTAATGAAATCCTCAGCATTATTTGGTAAGCATTGCACCCTGAGTTTTTCCCCTGTTTTATTATAACGTACAAAAAAGTTAAAATTTTACAGTGTACTTACCACCCAGATGCTAGTTAGCATTAACTATGCTTTATCACGTCTGTCCACCTATCAGTTCATCAAATCCAGATTATTTTTAATGCATTTTAAATTGCAGAAATCTCTACACTTTCTACTGTATTTAGCATACATATTATTCAGTAGAGTTCAGTATTTGTTTACATTTTAATTTTGATGTAAAGTGAGCATACAGTGAAATACATAAATTTTACGTGTGTATCTGCTGGGTTTTGGCAAGTGCATACAGTGCTAACAAAATGCAAAATGTTAGAAAATTCCCACATGGCCATTCCAGTCAGTTCTTGTCCCCACGCCACCCCCTACAGGGAACCACTGTTCTTTTTTTTCCTACCATAAATCAGATTTGTTTGTTCTAGATCTTTGTGTAAATAGAGTCACACAGCATGTCCTCTTTCTAGATGGCTTCTTACCATGTTTTGGAGATTTATCTATGTGTTTGGGTATGTTATGTTAATAGTTCATTCCTTTTTTTTTTTATTGCTGAGTCATCTGTTGTATGACTATATTACAGTTTATCCATTATCCTATTTATAAATACGTGGTCTGTTTCCAGTATTGGTAATTATAAAGCTACTCTGATTATTCTTAACATAAATCTTATGTGAACATAGGCTTTCGTTTCTCTTGGATGAATATCTAGCATTAGAATTTGTGTCATAGGGTAGTTTTAAAAGAAACTGCCATAGCTTTTTAGTGTGGTTGTGCTGTGTCCTGGGTTTTAACTATATTTTGGATGTGTAAGTTGTTAACTAATTTTATGACCCATATTTGAAATATGAGAAGTAGGTTTGGAATAGAAATGGCATTTTTATAGTTGGCAGTTGATGTCATTTGAGGGAAGCAAATGCCTGTCTGCCCAAAACAGTTCCCCAAGTGGTTCCTATCCCTGAAATGTTAGCATTGGTTTCACTCCTTGAAAGATTAAAGCACTTACCCAAACATGGTGATATATTAACTATAAGAAACAGCACTGGTTTGTTATATTACTAACTTTTTGCCACCCATTTTCAGTAGGTAAAGTAAGACTGGTAACTGAACAGAAAAGATTATTTCTGTTCAGTAAGGGTAGAAGGGACAGTAAAAACATGTACGGCTAGTCAGTCCCAGGTACAGCAATGTGAGAGAACCATCTGGACAGGGAAGTCCTCCAAATGGTGGTCAAGAAACCAGAAAACTGGGTGGGGAGAATTCTACCTCAGAGTTGTGCATAGGGGATAGCTATGTTTTTGCAGGATATTTTAACCTTTGCAAGTCATATTTTTAATTTTGTCTTTTCAATACCACCCAGCTATAGTTATTTCACACCCCAGTGACTTCTATCCACTGTGTCTCACCCTCTCTGCCTGTTCTATTACATACTGCGGTTATCTGTATAAGCCTGTAAAAGTATAATCATATGTACGTTTCCAGTGCTTGTGTTCAAAGATTTATGTATGGTCCATCCAATCTTTCCTATTCAATTTTTAAGGGCTGGGATATTTGGCTTCTACTGTAAATCCTTATAATGTTCCATACATTGTATATGCAATAAAAATGTTAAAAACTATAATTAATGGCAGCAGATTTTGATATGTATTTCCTTGTTATGTTATCACTTTGGACATTAAGTTTGGTTTCTGTTAATAAAGAATGTTCATCAAATCTAGGGAGAATTAAGTTATACTGGTCTCTATAACATAATCTCGTGAATTCAGCATCTTTGAATCTGTTCACTTTTTTCGTAAAACTTTAAATTTTTTTCTAACAATATTCTCTCTCTCTCTCAATCTTTGATTAAAGCAAAAATGTAACTCCTTTATTCTGAAATAATCTGGAGTCTTAGAAGATAGACTAAACACACTTTCCCTTGTGCCTCTCCTATCTTCAGCAGCTCCCATCCTGTGTTCCCACAGGCCTAGCACAGAAACTCAGGGCTTTCTCTGAGTCCTACATTGTCAGAGATTGTTAGGTTCTGATCACAATAGATAGTGGTTACATTTCTTTTGTTCCTAACAAGAAGACCATTTTTAAGACTGAAAAGACAGATGTGTATCTGGGATAGGGGAATACACATTAAAACAAAGTTGGCTATACTTAAAATAACACAATCATATTATGCTAAACATAATGACAGCTCCAGAATGGCTACTGGGAATTTAGAGTTGCCAGAATTTGGAAGTCAGCAAGCCTTACTCCTTGTCCAGTGACTTTAAGTGTATTTGAATGACAGTTGAACATGTGAGCAAAATGTGTATATGAAAAAGAATGTAACTTTATTATTAATATTTTCATTTAATCTCCCATTAGACACAATGTATCCACAAAGTTGTTCCACCTTCTGTGTAAAGTGTACACAGAAGTATTCTCATAAGCATAAACTCTTTCGTGAAAGTTAAAATGAGCACAAGAAATACTCAGTTTTTGTCAGGACAGGAAGGGAGAGAATTAGAGTGATAAGAAGTCAAAAGTATCTAATAAAAAAATAGATGGGAAAACTGGAAAAGAAGTAAACCATAACTTAACTATCTTTGGAAGTTTACCTTCTACTTTAATTACTTTGACTATTTTATTAAAAGAATCTAGTCTTCAAAAGATTGTTATAAATATGTTTATAAAACAACAAAAAGTTGAAAACAACCCAAATGTTTAAATAAATTTATCCTGTATAGAATATTATACCACTGAAAATGTTGTTATAGAAGTATATTTATTGAAGTTGTTAAAAGTGTATTTATTGAAAAGGAAAGATATTCATGGTGTATTATTGGGTGAAAAAAGGCACATTCCAAAACTATAGAAATATGATTCATTTTACAAATAAAAATAGCTGTTTATAGAACTTGCATATGTTATCTTTGAGATGTGGAATTAATAGATCATAATTTTCTTTGTTACTTTTATTTTCTGGCTTTTTGTTAAAATGAGTGTTTTTGAAAGAGCTTCTAAGTATAAAAGGCCTAGCAAGTATATTCTTGTATTCTGAAATATCTGTTGCAAGAATTCTCAAGGTGAAGTAGGAAAAAATACATATGAAAATCTAGGGGGGTAGAATTTTAAAATTCAAATCAGTATAACTTTCATTTTCAAAATTCTACAAAAAGTAAATATTGAAGTCTTAATGTCTGAGATATGCAGAAGATAGCATCATGGCTTTAAATACCTTGAGAAAACAACGTGCATTGAACTCTGCTTACATCTCTCTCTTCAGGTCTATTTCAAATTATTTTGTATAGGACAAAACTGCATTTTAAGAATGGACAAGCAAAGAAAATATTCTGTATGGAGATTTCAGTGATAACTCTGTTGCTGCAGGTTGATAATGAAGCCATGCCTGTATTGGAAAGGTCAAGTACCTCAATCCCAGGATCACGTTTTCCTCCAAACCCCTGAAGATAAGTAATCTTGCCAATGTCTATTCTTAGTCAAAATGAAGAGTAGAAGGAAACATGAGTTAGTAGCAACACTTGACATTCCTGTTTTTCTAGTCCATTTTATTCTTCTAACCAGAACACTCTCAGAATAGGACTATTAGCTCTACCTGGTTGTCTACACAGTTGCATCTATGAGGAATTCCTGTATTGTTGACAGGACAAGGCTTTCTTAGAGTCTTGTGTTAGAACTTGGAACACATTTTCCCATTAAAATGATTAAAATGCAACTGGTCTCCTTCAGATACATTATGGATTAAGCAGGCTACTCTGTTGAATGACCTAGAAATTTAGTTAGGATTAATAATATTACTGTATGTTGCAAGTTGTGAACACCTGACCTACCAGTAGATTTTTAGAATGTATTTATTATTTGGAAGCTGCTTTTGTGCTAAGAAAATGTTTAGAGCTCATAAATCATAAAGATGCCTCTCAGGTAATTAGGATATAAACATAGATTAAGTTTCAAAGGAGCAGCACAGTACATTATAAACATGTGGTTAGAACTAGAACATGTGTTCTAGATCAGTGTTTATGAAACTGGACCGTGCCCACAATCAACTGGAGATCTTATTAAAATGTAGATTCTGAATCAGTAAGTCTGGGATAGGACCTGAGGTTTTGCATTTCCAAGTTTTCCAAGTGTTGCCAATGCTGCCAGTCTGCAAACCACACTTTGGATTGCAAGATTCTAGAATATCTTATAAAAATTTAATATGGACACTTTTCAGAGACATTGATTATCTTTCAAATTATCTCATTTCTGTAATTTAAAAGAATGCAGATGTGGCATTTTGGGAAGTATGTAAAATAATTTTAGTGACCTCAGAAGTCAAATATATTTATGAAATCACCAGGTTCAGGAAAAGTATATGGTAAATTTTAGCAAATTCACAGTGAATCCTGAACTTATATTTCTACTGTCTCATGACTGAGGGATGATGGTGGTCAACTGTGCCTTTTTGCTTTATTCTTTTAAATTATGTTTAATATAATAATAAAGTGTAGTTATTATTTTTTAAAAAGTACTCTAGGAAATACATAAAATATTCAGAGTAAAAACTGCCCGTAAGTCATCAATGCAGAAAACCCACTTAGTATTTGATGCATTTCCTTTGTATATCATCTAACAAGATTATACCACTATTTAACTTTAGTTTCTGATTTTTACAACATTGTAACAAAATTTTCCCATTATTAATATTTTCCCTGTGTAAGTCAATATCTGTGTAATATTCAGTGATAAGTAGATATCATAACTATTATTGCTATTTGGCAAACATTTTTTCATTCCTTCTTTTTCTTTCTTAATGCTATGATAAGTAATGCTACAGTGAACATCCTTGTACTTAATTTTGATTGCATCTGTCCTTGAGATTGATTCCTGAAAGTGGAAACATTGGTTTGGAATGTATCCATATTTTAAGGCTTTTGATAGTTATAACCAAATTGCTTTCCAGAATGTTAGGCAAATTTATGCTTCCCATCAAAAGCTACAGTGCCCATTTCATGGCACTCCTTCCAGTACAAAATGTTACTGATAAAAACTCTTAACTGCCAGTGAGGGCAAAAATAATTTAATAATTTAGTAGTATTCATTGTGTTTCCCGTTGGTGACTTGTCTATTATTATTTTTGTGTACTTTTCCTTTGGAGTCTTATCATTTTTCATTTATTTGTAGAAGCTTTTTATACAACAAGGGTAATAATCCTTTATGATACTGAGAGCAGTACTGTTTGTAGTTTGTCATTTTTTTTAATCTTTATGAATTTTGGTATGTTAGTATGTTTATTTTTATAGTGAAATCTGTTAACTAACCTTCATTTTGATTTCTTACATTTCCTTAAAGCTTAGAAAAATTCGTCTCCTTCAGCTTAAATTTTGTTTTCTTGTGCATTTTTATTTTTTACTTTTAAATACAAAAGCAATTTTGGTACATTATGTGAGATAATGATCTAATATGATATATTTTTCTAAATATCAAGTGTTGTAAACATTACTTACTGAATAAGCTGTATCTCTCATTGATTTATGGTACTACTTTGAAAATACATTGAGTTCTTAAGTTTCTTGGGCCTGCTTCTGGGTTGGCGTTCTGTTCTTTTGACTAGTATATCTAGTCTTCTGCCAGTACCACACTGCTTTTAGGATTTTTTTGGAAACAAAACAAAAATCAGAAGTTCTTCTTACAGCATTACATAGAAGCAGATTTTACCTATTCAGATAATTTTTTTGGTGGCATAAGTAAATAAAGAAAACCTCGCTGAATGAGTATAGATATCGGCAGATTTAGAAGAGTGAAGAAAAAAAGTTATATGCTTTAAGATGATTAAGACAGAAGAAGAAGGGAAGCAAAGAAACAGTAGCTGTAGAGCATGTTACTTGAATGGGCACTTTACACAGCACAGAGGGAGAACAAGACAGTATGCAGAATGCAGAGAAGAAAAGGTGTAAGAGAGAAGAACAAAATAGCCATAAAGTGACAAAAATGGAAAGGAAGGAGAAAATGGAGAAACAATGTGAAGATTTGTGAGAAGAGAATAATGTTTGTAGTGTTATAAATAGATGAAGTATATTTATAGTAGTATGTTTGCATATAAAATGTAATAATACACACATATAACAGGGCCCTACCATTGAAGTAAATAAAGATGGACAAAAGTAGAATGTTGTATCAACATTAATGACAGATAAAATAGACATAGACAAGAACCTAGGTCCCCAGACTAGCAAACCAGTTTTCTCTGTGGTCAGACTGATGGTAAAAAGAATTTACAAGTGTAGAACTTATCTGGACACACCTCTAATTATTAGTATACAGTGGCCCTTGAACAGCATGGGGTTAGGGGCACCATCCATCTGCTGCAGTTGAAAATCTGCATATAATTTTATAGTCAGCCCTCCATACCCACAGTTCTGCATCCATGGATTCAACCAAGTGCTGATTTTGTAATAGTGTAGTACATATTTATTGGAAAAAAATCCACATGTTAAGAGGACCCATACAGTTCAAACCCATGTTGTTTAAGGGCTAACAACTGTATGATGTTGCACTTTGGTAAGTTTGTTTATAGTTGTTCTGTATCTATTCAACATTGAGTTTGCCTTAGGACACGAAACACAGAAAGCAGAATACAGGCTTTGGAGACAAACAAGCTTTGGCTCTGCCATCTAGAGCCAGTGATTAACAGTCCCTTTTTGATGTTGAGTTGGCATGAGTTGTCACATTAACCTTGTAATTTTGGATAAGTTATTTAGTATATCTGGGTCAGTTTTGTGAATAAAATGATAGGAAATGCCTCAAAGTGTTTCTCATAGTTATATGACATTGTAAACCCTTCAGGAGGGTAGCTGGCACATGAGCACTGCCCTATAATGAAATTTTTCCCATGATCTCCCTAGACTGCAAATTCTTTGTGGGCAAAGGCCTCATGTGTCTCCTTCCCTGATGTTTTTCTGGTACCTAAATCAATGCCTGGAACATCAGAAGTGCACAATAATTATTTGTTGAAAAGTGAGTATTTGCATGGACTCTAGTATGGCATCAAATTTTTGTTGTGTTTTGTTTTTTAACCCATCTGACCCTTTTAGAGGGCTTTTCCATATGGGATACAGTTATGATGGTAGAAGAGAGAGTAGGCAAGACCACACCTCTTTCTTAGGTTCCATTTACTGAGTTTAAAAATGCCATCTCTTCTCATCAAGTCTCCTCTAAATGCAGGTTCTTCTGGAAGGGGCCACAGTTTAAGTCAGCATCAACTAACACATTAGGTTATAAACCCCCTGGTAGGGACTGGTTAACAAATAGGTAAGGGCAGGAGTGGATAGCACTGAGGCAAGGGGCCCAGGGCAGGTGGTTTGCAGAGGTGACAAGGAAAGAACAGAGACTGTGAGGGCACAAAAACAGACATACTGTGCAGTTCTCCATGAGCTGGTCTGTTTTATTCTGCAAAATTTCCACATCCAAATGTAGTTAGGAGATGGAATTCTGTGGTAAAGTTCTAAATAAAATATATATAATTCATTATTCTAGATCATACATTTTGAACCAAAAAGCTCACTTCCAGTTTCTTAATCTCAAAGTTTTGTTTTTAAAGAAGTGAGTTTGGATTCATACTTGAGTTTGATTTAAATATGTGCCTTTTCTTCAGCCATCTTACTTATCCAGGCCTCCTGATGGCCATGACTGAGAAAATTAAGGAAACTGTCCAAATATTACTTAACTCATATGCTCTCAAGCCTAAGCAGTCTGTGGATGCTGATGGTGAGGATATTGTATTGCAATAATAATCAAATTTTCTGAGTTGAGTAATAACTCAAATTAACTGTATTATTTGTTCTACCACTTGTTTGACCAAACCTGTTTGGCTCACTCAGCCAAATCTACCTGTGATCTATGGGTGACTGAGGATACAGCCAAATCATCCTCCCATCCTGTCCAGGTATCTACAAATCAAGGCAGACAAAAGTGTTTTTGAAAGTAGGAAGAAAAATCTCCTGAACATCAAATAGTCGAAGAAGAAATCAAAAGGGAAATTTTTGAACGCCCTGAAACAAATGATAGTGGAATCACAACATACCAAAATCCATAGGTTGCTGGAAAAGCAGTTCTAAGATGAACACTTATAAACATCTAGATAAGGAAAAAGAACTCAAATAACATACTACTTTACACCTCAAGAAACTAGAAGAAAAAGAACAAACTAAGCCAAAGTTAAGAGAAGGAAGAAAATAGCAAAAATCAGAGCAGAAATACGTGAAATAGAGACAATAAAAACAATAGCAAAGATCAATACAACTAAGCTGTTTTTTGAAAAGATAAAACTAACCTTTAGCTAAACTATGAAAAAGAGAAGACTCAAATCAGAAATGAAAGAGGAGGTACCACAAATGATACCACAGAAATATGAAAGATCATAGAGACTACTTTGGACAAGTGTATGCCAACAAACTGGACAACCTTGAAAAAACTGATAAATTCTTAGAAACAGAACCTGCCAAGACTGAATCATGAAGAAGTACAAAATCTAAACTGTCCAATAACAAGGAGATTTAATTAGTAATTGACTCCCACCCCCCCACCAAGGAAAATCTAAAACCAATGGCTTCACTGGTAGATTCTACCAAACATTTAAAGAATTAACAGCTGTCAAATTCTTTTAAAAATTTGAAGAGGAGGAACATTCCCCAACTCATTTTACAAGACTAGTATCACTCTGATACCACAGCCAGATAAGGACAATTTAAGAAAAGGGAACTACAGGTCAATATCTCTAATGAATATAGATGCAAGAGGAGAGTGTTCAAGATGGCAGAGTAGAAAGATCCTGAACTCACCTCCTCCCAGGGATACAATAAATCTACCACTAAATATGGAATAATACCCTCAGAAAGATACCTGATAACTGGATGGACAGAGCCTCCACAACAAAGTTTAAAAGGACAGCATTAAGATGGGTAGGAGGGCTGAGATATGGTCTCACCAAAGGGGAAAAAAACCACACCTCAGCCACAGCAATCCACAATTGAGAGGGATCACAAAGGTATGGATCTTTTCCAAGAAGAGTGAGGGAGCTGAACTCCACATCAGGCACCCTAACTCCTAAATCCTGCACAGGAGAAAGGAACCCCCCAAATAAAATACCTTTAGCTGTGAAAACCAATGAGAAAGATGTCCAGGAAAACTGTAGAACTGCAGGGAATGGAAAACCTTCTCTTAAAAGGCCTACCTATAGGCTCAATCAACCCGAAAATAAATAAAAAACCCAAAAAGCAAACAAACAAAAAACCACTAGATTGAAAAGTATAGACCATAGGTGAAGGGGACCCACTTACTAATCCTGAAGTATCTACCAGAGAGGCAGGAACCAGTTGGGTTGCTCCCTGGGATTGAGACAGGGCAGGAGCCATTTTTGTGATCTCAAGTTACCTTACTAATGTTGGCACTGGTGGGTAACATTTTGAAAATCTCCTTCTAACCTTTTAGTATCCTTGGGCATGCCCAACTGAGAGTGCCACCCACCCCTGCATCTCAGCTGGGCCTCACAGCCAGGTAAGCAACAGCCCTGCCCATATCATGTATAGAAGCCATGGCTGGGCCCTGCAGCTGGTCTGGGTACCAGCCCCACTAAGCAGTGTGCTGCAGGGGCAGCTGTGGCCCCACCACAAGAGGTGGGCACACACAGCTCACAGAGGGGATGCCTCTTGAGCACCTGGCTCTGGTGTATAGGCAGGATTGCACCTCTGAGCCCCACAGGACATCTCCTAAATAAAACTACTCCTTCAGGACTGTAAGAGATTGCTGATTTACCTAATACTTAGAAACAAACACAGAGAAATAGGCAAAGTGAGACGGAGGAGTATGTTCCTGAAGAAAGAACAAGACAAAACTCAAAAAAAGAACTAAACAAAATGGAGATGGGCAACCTACCTGATAAAGAGTTCAAATTAATGGTCATAAACATACTCACTGAACTCAGGAGAAATGTGGATGAACATAGTGAAAATTACAACATGATGATAGAAAATATAAGAAAATACCAAGCAGAAGTTATAAATGAGCTGAAAAATATACCAGTTTCAGCAGCAGATTGAAGTCAGTGAGCAGGAAGACAAAGCAATAGAATGCAACCAGACAGAGTAGCAAAGTGAAAAAAATAATTTTAGAAAGTGAAGGTGTCTTAAGGGACCTTTGGAACAACATCAAGTGGAGTAACCTTCATATATAGAGGTCCCAGAATTAGACAAGAGAGAAAAAGGACCAGAAAAATTATTTGAAGAATTAAAACTGAAAACTTTCCTAATTTGGGGAAGGAAACAGACATCCAGGTCCAGGAATCCAAGAGAGTTCTAAATAAGATGAACCCAAAGAGAAACAAACCAAGACCTTATAATTAAAATAGTAAAAGGACATAAAGAGAATCCTAAAAGCAGCATGAGATAAACAACTTGCGACATACAAGGGAAACCCCATAAGGCTATTAGATTTTTCAGCAGAAACTTTACAGGCCAAAATGGGGCATGGCATTTTCAAAGTGCTTAAAGGAAAAACATATCGATCAAGAATTCTCTATCCAGCAAGGTTTTCATTCAGAATTGAAGACAAAAGCTTCCCAGATAAGCAAAAATGTAAGGAGTATCACCATTAAACCAGCCCTACAAAAAAATACTAAAACAACATATTTAATCTAAAAAGAAACTGCACTAATTAATAATTAGAGAACAAAGAAAAATAAAAGTATCACTGGAAAAAAGTAATTATAGTAAATATATAATAAAGGTAGTAGATCAGTAATTTATAAAGCGAGCTTGAAGGTTAAAAGAGAAAAGTAGTGAAATTAACCAAAATTAAAATAGTTAACGGATGCATAAAAAAAGATGCAAAATGTTTCATCAAAAGTATAAAATGTAGGGGATATGTAAAAAGATAACGCTTTCGAATGCGTTCAAATTTAAGTTGCTACCAACTTAAAACAGGCTATTTACATAGGATGTTATATGTAAATATCAGAGTCACCACAAGAAAAAAACCCTATAGTAAACACAAAAGAAAATGAGAAAGAAATCTAAATATAATACATGAAAACTGCCAAAATACAAGGGAAGAGAAGAAGAAACAGAGAGGAAGTACAGAAACAGCCAGAAAACAATTAACAAAATAGCAGTAAGTACGTACCCGTCAATAATTAAGTGTAAGTGCACTGAATTCACCAATCAAAAGATAGAGAGTGGCTGAATACTTTTTTTTATAAAAGATACGTCTATATGCTGCTTAAAAGAGATTCACTTCAGAAGAAAGGACACACAAAAATTTGAAAGTGAAGGGATAGAAAAAGAATTCAATGGAAATGGAAATGAAAAGAAAGCTGGAGTACATATACTCAGATCAGCCAAAATATACTTTAAAACAAAGACTGTAATGAAAGAAGGACACTACCTAATGATAAAGAGGGCAATTCAGCAGAAGATGTAACATGTATAAGTGTAAATGCACTCCATAGAGGAACACCAAGATGTATAAAGCAAATATTGATGGACTTAAAGGGAGAAATTTAAAGCAATACAATAATAGTTGGAGACTTTAACACCCCACTTACATAAATAAATAGATCATCCAGACAGAAAATCTATGAAGAAACATCTGACTTAAATGACACATCTGACTTTAAACCAGATAGACTCAATAGATACAGAATATTCTATCCCAATAGTAGAATACACATTGGACAACTTGGGAGAAATTGATAATATACAATATTTAAAGACTAAATCGTGAGTAAATAGAAAATCAGAGCAGACTAATTACTAGTATTGAAATTGAATCAGTGAACAAAATTCTTTCAACAAACAAAAGCCCAGGACCAGGCAGTTTCACAGCAGAATTCTACCAAAGATTTAAAGAAGAGTTAATACCTATCCTTCTCAAACTATTTCAAAAAATTGAAGAGGAGGGAAACCATTCAAACACATTTACAAAGCCAGCATTACTCTGATATCAAGACAAGGACACCACAC